AGGCAACTGATTTCTGAGTGTTGGTTTTACTCTGGGCCATGTCTCCTTCAAGGGTAGAAGGTCATAGGCTTTTCCACTGCCCATACTGCATCTGCCCAGCTGTGCTGGAGCCCTGGGTGAAGCAGGACAGGTGTAGGGGCCAGGACCTGAGCCCAGGAACAGTGATGGCACAGGGCTTGCTCTGCTAAGTCATACTTTTCTGACATAGAGACTTCCTTTATTCATAGGTGAGCGTCCCTATCAATGTCCTTACTGTGAAAAAGGATTCAGTAAAAATGATGGACTCAAGATGCATATTCGTACACATACCAGGGTAAGATCATATTTTGGCTCATTAACATTCTTAAAAATTGTACTTATTTTTAAAGAAATGTATGTGATTTTATGTGAGAAGAAATATTGCATTGGAAATTATATCTTTATGTTTATGATGGTCATTTGAAGATAAAGTTTTAAAAGGGAAATGAATGAAGAATAATCCTAACAGTGTCATGATTCTTTGAATTACAAATCAATTTTCAGGAGTTACAGATGATAAACTGCCAGATAAATGGATTTTAACATTTTAATATAGAAAATATAAAGGTTTTGTCTTGTAGAATTTTCACCAGTAATAGGAACATTCTTGGATAGAGGCAAATTTGTCAGCATTTGGGTGCTAAATGATACTTACAAGCAAGTATCTCTGCATGGGGAGGTGTTGCAAATAATTTAAATTATTAGGAGAGTTGGAAAACATGGAAGTGTCACTCAGTGAGCTTCAGGTGCATATCCAGTGCAGTGTTTTATCCTTTTTCTGATGCTGCCCTTTGTTCTGTGCCATCAGCACCTCTCACTGTACTGGTATATATGGCTTCTCATTCTGGTATATATGGCTTCTCCAGACTCAAGTCTCACATGCATAAGAAACAATGCATGCAGCTAGCCCTACATCCGGGTGCTTATGTGGCTCACTGTTGGGTTTGGGGCACAATTACACACTTTATATGAACTTTCCACATGGAAATTTTATATTGTTTTAAATACCTACTCATGATTTTGCTCTTAGCCATTTTCCTTGCTCTCTCTTTCACACATTTTCCTTTTCATTTTGGCTTTCTAAAAGTGCTTATCAGCTACATATACATGATACATTTTTCCCACATTTTAAGACATGAGCTTGATCCCCTGAAGAGCAATTCTAATTTAGGCTTCCCTTGAATTTTACTTTTTACTTTAGCTATACAATATAAACTTTAGAGAAAACATAATAATAGTATCTTTCTCGATATAAAAATACTTTAGCTTTCTGCTTCAGTTTTGGAGTGCTCAAAAGATACCGTCTGAGTCCTATTAAGAAAGTATTCTTGCCCTGATGGTGGGGAAGAGAGGAAGCAGTTCCACAGCAAGTTTCTCACTCTGCTTTAGAATAGCACATTCATACTACGTGAATATTAGAAATTGGATCACTTATTAAATATATTTCAAGTACTTCATAAACTGTAAATGGTTGAGCAAATATTACTGCCTTTAATAGTATGCTTTAAATTCCAATGTTCAAAATATGTATTTCACAGTGAGTTTTATTAAAGAGGTTTAAGTTCATTTTAGATTGGTTTAGGAAGTTCTTTTGTATGTGAATAGCTTTCACGAAAATGTCAATAATGTGGTTTTTTAACAGATCCCATTATACAGGCAAAGGGGTTTTGGTTCTTCTTAATGCAAACTGGTGATGTTAATCAAAAAGTTCCTATTACATTGCTTCACTTGATTACTGACGATATGATTATGTCATAGAAGAGGCTGTTTAAATCACTGCAGGAAAAAAGTGTTTTGGTTTTCTCAAGAAGTTTTAAATATTTTTAATTCAATTAATATACTTTTTAATATAAATTTATTAATGAGAATGATTCAAATAGTTAAGATAAGTGCAAATAAATACAAAGACCACTAATTACATTTCAGGAAAGACTTCTTGGTAATAGTTTCAGGGCTTTCAAATTTATCAATTCATTTAAGCTTTATAAAACTATGAAGAAGTTAGTATTATGATTCCTTTTTGAAAAATGAGAAACTGAGGCACCTACTGCACACTTTTTGCATTTTATCAATTATTTACTCATTTCATTGGCTTTGTTATGTTTCTTAGTACAGTAGACCCTCAAGTTATGTCTGGCCTGACAAACAAACACTTGGGGTTATGACAGGAATTTAGTTTTAACTTACGACCAAGTCTTGAGTTATGACCCAAATGCCAGCCGCTCTTGCTTCCAGATGGTCTCAGATAAATATTTAATCCTTTAAAGAGTTCTGGAAGGAACATTACAACGTCCTTTCCTGTGTGGGGTTAATTGAGAAATGTTGGGCCATTGTCTCTCTAAGGACACTGAGATCTGCCTATATTTAGGAGAGAGACTTTGAAAGGCTGTGTAGAGGAGCCTGAGCCTTCAATTAACCATCTTGAGTAACAAACTACTCTTGAGAACGAATTGAGGTTGTAAATCAAGGGTCCACTTAAACTAAAGAAATTATGATTCCAAGTTTAACAGCCCTTGTTTTTGGCTAGTTGTGTGCAGGGATCCTGATGCTATGTCCAGAGGTTGAGCTGCAAGTGGTACCTGTCAGTTCTCGTAAAGGAAGCAAATTCCCCCGCCTTTGGCCTGGAGAACCCCAGAGAACTCACAGAGGAGGAGCACTCAGGATTTTAGGGAGGAGCTCACATAACTAGTACAGAACACTGTCAAAGTGTAGGGTGAA